CTGCACCCAAGTCTAGTTTAGGTTCTGCTCAAAGCTTTTTGTTGTTAAGATTAAATGTGTGTCAGTATGAAGCTTATTTCAGCCAGGGGACAAAACTGAAAAATAAAGTCTAACAGGGTGTTAATTGAGCAATTTGAGTTGTATATAACTTTTAAAAATCAGGAAAGTTGCGTTTATTACAAAACTAGAATCTAAAGCAAAGTAAAAGCAGCATCTTGGGCTGTTTTGAGCACTGATCACATTCACTGTGACTCAGACCGCGAGGCTTACTTTGGTGGAGGAACAAAGTTAACTGTTTTAGGTAAGAAAACAAAAAATAGCGCTGTAACTGACCTGAATATTTCTTCTCAGACTGCACTCAGGTCTAGTTGTAATGGAGCTGACTGCTTTTGTTTCTAAAGCTTAAAGAATTCGCTGTTCAAAGCCTACTTTGGCCAGGGAACAAAACTGACTGTTCTTAGTTCGTTAAGATAAAGTCTAACAGGGTGGTGATAAAACCATGAGGAAAGGAAAAAGGAAATTTGCAGTAACGTGACACTAAAAAGCAAAGATTCAAAGTAAAAGCAGCATCTTGGGCTGTTTTGAGCACTGATCACATTCACTGTGACTCTGGTGCTGGTGGTGCAGAAGCTTTCTTTGGTGGAGGAACAAAGTTAACTGTTTTAGGTAAGAAATCAAAACTAATCTTAAAAAGCATTGTAATGATTACTTGCAGAAACTTACAGCACTTAAGTTTAGTTTAAAGTCTGCTCAAAGCTTTTTGTTGTTAAGCTAAAATGTGTTCGCTCTAAGCTTATTTCAGTCAGGGGACAAAACCCACTGTTCTTGGTAAGTTAACATGAAGTCTAACATGGTGGTGACTGAGAGGGTTGTGTTGCAATCAACTTTTAAAACACAGGAAAGTTCCATTTACCCCAAAACTAGAACCTAGAAAAGCAAAGTAAAAGCAGCATCTCTGCCAGTTTTGAGCACTGATCCAGAGCACTGTGACTCAAACCAAGAAGCTTACTTCGGTGGAGGAACAAAGTTAACTGTTTTAGGTAAGAAACCAAAACTAATCTTAAAAGCACTGTCATGGTTATGTTAAGAAACTTACAGCACTCAAGTCTGGTTTAAATTCTGCTCAGAGCTTTTTGTTCTTAAGCTTATACGTGTCAGTACGAAGTCTTTTTCAGCCAGGGAACAAAACCTACTGTTGTTGGCGAGTTAATATAAAATCTAACAGGGAGTTAACTGAGAGAGTTGTGTTGTGAAAAAACAGGGAAGCTACATTTATTCATAAACTAAAATGTAAAGATTCAAAGTAAAAGCAGCATCTTGGGCTGTTTTGAGCACTGATCCAGTGCACTGTGAACAACGCTGCAGAAGCTTTCTTCGGTGGAGGAACAAAGTTAACTGTTTTAGGTAAGAAATCAAAACTAATCAAAAAAATATGTTATTGTGTCTTTAGGAAACTTACTGTACTCAAGTCTAGTTTAATTTCTGCACAGAGTTTGTGTCCTAAGGCTTTAAACTGAGACAGTGTTTAAGCTTATTTCAGCCAGGGAACAAAACCTACTGTTCTTGGTTTGTTAAGATAAAGTCTAACAGGGTGGTGATTGAAAGCATTGTCTTCCATAAAACTAGTAAGAACAGGAGGGAAGGAAAAAGGAAATCTGCTTTGATACACAGCTACAGAGTGCTGTTTGAGCACTGATCATGTTCACTGTGATTCTGGTGGTAGAGAAGCTTTCTTTGGTGGAGGAACAAGGTTAACTGTTTTAGGTAAGAAATCAAAACTAATTTAAAATAATCTTATTGCGTCTCATGTCTAGTTCAAGTTCTGCTTAGAGTTTGTGCTCTTAGGCTTCAAATTGAGACAGTGTGGAAGCTTATTTCAGCCAGGGAACAAAACTGACTGTTCATAGTTGTTAAAATAAAGTTTAACTGAGAGGGTTGTAAAATATTCTTGTAGAAAACAGACTGTAGTTGTTGGTTTTAAAGAAAAGTTATATTTATTACATAACTAAAATGTAAAGAAGCAAAGTAAAAGCAGCATCTTGGGCTGTTTTGAGCACTGATCACATTCACTGTGACTCCGGTGGTGCTGGTGCAGAGGCTCACTTTGGAGGAGGAACAAAGTTAATTGTGTTAGGTAAGAAATCAAAACTAATTTTAAAATCTTTAAGAAACTTACTGTTCCCATGTCTAGTTTAAGTTCTGCTCAGAGTTTGTGTCCTTAGGCTTTAAACTGAAACAGAGTTCAAGCTTATTTCAGCCAGGAAACAAAAACTACTGCTTTTTGTAAAATGAAGTCTAACAGGGTGATTGAAAACATCGTCTTGCAAAGAACGAGTAAAAACAGGAGGAAAGGAAAAGGGAAATCTGCTTTGATGCACAACTACAGAGCAAAAATTCTAAGTAAAAGCTATCTATAGCTGGTTTGAGCACTGATCAGGTGCACTGTGACTCTGGTGGTGGTGGTGAAGCTTTCTTTGGTGGAGGAACAAAGTTAACTGTTTTAGGTAAGAAATCAAAACAATTTTTTTAAAAAAAAAAAATGCCCATGTCTTTAAGCAACTCACTGTATTTAAGTCTAGTTCAAGTTCTGCTTAGAGTTTGTGTTCTTAGGCTTCGAACTGAGACAACCAGGGAACAAAACTGCCTGTTCATAGTTGTTAACATAAAGTCTAACAGGGTGGCAACTGAGAGGGTTGTAAAATATTCTTGTAGAAAACAGGCTGTAGTTGTTGGTTTTAAAGAAAAGTTATATTTATTACATAACTAAAATGTAAAGATTCAAAGTAAAAGCAGCATCTTGGGCTGTTTTGAGCACTGATCACATTCACTGTGACTCTGGTACTGGTGAAGCTTACTTCGGTGGAGGAACAAAGTTAACAGTTTTAGGTAAGAAATCAAAACTAACGAAAATAACATTGTTATGTCTTCAATAAGATAATGTACTCAACTCTAAGTTCTGCTCAGAGCTTTTGTTCTTAATCTTAAATGTTAGTATGAAGCCTCCTTGTAAGTTAACGTAAAGTCTAACAGGGTGGTAACTGAGAGAGTTTTATTTTTTTTTGTACAAAACAAGCTTAAGTTGTTGGTTGTAAAGGGAAGTTATATTTACCACGAGTAAGGAGGCAGAGTAAAAGCTGCATCGTGGCTGGTTTGAGCACTGATCCAGTGCACTGTGAACCAGAATGCAGAAGCTTACTTTGGTGGAGGAACAAAGTTAACTGTTTTAGGTAAGAAATCAAAACTAATTGAAAAAGTGTTCTTGTGTCTTTCAAAAACATTCGATACTCAAATCAAGTGTAAGTTCTGCTCAGAGTTTGTGTTCTTAGGCTTTAAACTGAGACAGTGTTTAAGCTTATTTCAGCCAGGGAACAAAAACTACTGTTCTTGGTTCGTTAATATAAAGTCTAACAGGGTGGTGACTGAGAGTACTGTCTTTCATACAAGTCGTAAAAACATGAGGAAAGGAAAAAGGAAATTTGCAGTAATAGAAAACTCAAATGTAAAGAAGCAAAGTAAAGGCATCATCTTGGGATGTTTTGAGCACTGATCCAGTGCACTGTGAACTCCAATACAGAGGCTTACTTTGGTGGAGGAACAAAGTTAACTGTTGTAGGTAAGAAATCAAAACTAATTCAAAAATTGTCCCTCTGTCTGTAAGAAACTCACTGTACTCAAGTCTAGTTTAAATTCTGCGTTTGTATTTTAAGGCTTTAAACTCAGACAGTGTTTGAGCCTATTTCATTCAGGGAACAAAACCTACTGATCTTGGTTTGTTAAAATAAAGTCTAACAGGGTGGTGACTGAGAGGGTTTTAAAAGCTTCTTGTACAAAACAGTCTTAAGTTGTTTGTTGTAAAGGGAAGTTATGTTTATTACGAGTAAAGAAGCAAAGTAAAAGCAGCAGCCTGTGCTGTTTAAAGCACTAATCACATTCACTGTGACTCTGATGCTGGTGGGGCTTTCTTCGGTGGAGGAACAAAGTTAACTGTTTTAGGTAAGAAATCAAAACTAATTTAAAATAAAAATATTCTCATTCAAGTCCTGTTTAGAGTTTGTGTTCTTAGGCTTCAAACTCAGACAGCTTATTTCAGCCAGGCAACAAAACTGACTGTTTAGTTTGTTAAAATAAACTCTAACAGGGTGGCAACTGAGAGGGTTGTAAAATATTATTGTAAAAACAGGCTGTAGTTGTTGGTTTAAAGAAAAGTTAAGATTCAAAGTAAAAGCAGCATCTTGGGATGTTTTGAGCACTGAACCAGTGCACTGTGACTGACAGTAGGGAAGCTTACTTCGGTGGAGGAACAAAGTTAACTGTTTTAGGTAAGAAATCAAATCAAATTATGTCTTCAAGAAAGATAATATACTCAAGTCTAGTTTACGTTCTGCCCAGATATTTTTGTTCCTAATCCTAAATGTTGTGTCAGTATGAAGTCTGTTTCATTCAGGGAACAAAACTGACTGTTCTTGGTAAGTTAACATAAAGTTGAACAGGGTGGTAATTGAGAGGGTTGTTAAAGATTCTTGTGTTAAGTTGTTCGTTGAAAAGGGAAGTTATATTTAATACGACTAAGAAAGCAAAGTAAAAGCTGCATCCTGGGATGTTTTGAGCACTGATCACATTCACTGTGACCAACACTGCAGAGCCTTACTTTGGTGGAGGAACAAAGTTAACTGTGTTAGGTAAGAAATCAAAACTAATTCAAAAAGTGTTCTGGTGTCTCTCGAAAACTCACTGTACTAAAATCAAGTGTAAGTTCTGCAGAGAGTTTGTGTCCTTAGGCTTCAAACTGAGACAGTGTTTAGGTTTATTTCAGGGAACAAAAACTACTGTTCTTGGTTCGTTAATATAAAGTCTATCAGGGTGGCAGCTGAGAGGGCTGTCTTGCAAAAAACTAGTAAAAACAGGAGGAAAGGAAAAAGGAAATTTGCAGTAATAGAAAACTCAAATGTAAAGATTCAAAGTAAAAGCAGCATCTTGGGATGTTTTTAGCACTGATCCAGTGCACTGTGAACACCAATACAGAGGCTTACTTTGGTGGAGGAACAAAGTTAACTGTTTTAGGTAAGAAATCAAAACTAATGGCAAAAAATTGTCCCTCTGTCTGTAAGAAACTCACTGTACTCAAGTCTAGTTTAAGTTCTGCTTAGAGTTCGTGTTTTAAGGCTTTAAACTCAGACAGTGTTTGAGCCTATTTCATTCAGGGAACAAAACCTACTGATCTTGGTTTGTTAAAATAAAGTCTAACAGGGTGGTGACTGAGAGGGTTGTAAAATATTCTTGTAAAAAGAGGCTGTAGTTGTTGGTTTAAAGAAAAGTTAAGATTCAAAGTAAAAGCAGCATCCTGGGCTGTTTTGAGCACTGAACCAGTGCACTGTGACTGACAGTAGGGAAGCTTACTTCGGTGGAGGAACAAAGTTAACTGTTTTAGGTAAGAAATCAAAACTAATTTAAAATAAAAATATTCTCATTCAAGTCCTGTTAAGAGTTCATGTTTTAAGGCTTCAAACTGAGACAGTGTTTAAGCTTATTTCAGCCAGGCAACAAAACTGACTGTTTAGTTTGTTAAAATAAACTCTAACAGGGTGGCAACTGAGAGGGTTGTAAAATATTATTGTAAAAACAGGCTGTAGTTGTTGGTTTAAAGAAAAGTTAAGATTCAAAGTAAAAGCAGCATCTTGGGATGTTTTGAGCACTGAACCAGTGCACTGTGACTGACAGTAGGGAAGCTTACTTCGGTGGAGGAACAAAGTTAACTGTTTTAGGTAAGAAATCAAATCAAATTATGTCTTCAAGAAAGATAATGTACTCAAGTCTAGTTTAAGTTCTGCCCAGATATTTTTGTTCCTAATCCTAAATGTTGTCTCAAGTCTATTTTGGCCAGGGAACAAAACTGACTGTTCTTGGTAAGTTAACATAAAGTCTAACAGGGAGGCAACAGAGGTTTGGAAAAACGTCTTGTAAAAAACAGTCTTAAGTTGTTCGTTGTAAAAGGAAGTTATATTTAATATGACTGAGGAAGCAAAGTTAAAGCTGCATCCTGGGATGTTTTGAGCACTGATCACATTCACTGTGACCACCACTACAGAGGCTTACTTTGGTGGAGGAACAAAGTTAACTGTTTTAGGTAAGAAATCAAAATCTCCTACAAACAGGCTGTAGTTGTTGGTTTTAAAGGAAAGTCACATTAATTACAAAACTAGAAACTAAAGCTCCAAAGTAAAAGCTGCATCTTGGGCTGTTTTGAGCACTGATCACATTCACTGTGACTCTGGTGGTGCCGTAGAGGCTTTCTTTGGTGGAGGAACAAAGTTAACAGTTTTGGGTAAGATCACATTTTAACTGTTCTGGTATTATTTTGTGAAGATGTTTCTGACACTGTTAAGACACTCAAAGGCTCGAAAGACTGCTGATTCTTAGTGAATAAGCTGTACTTAGAGTCCTTACATGTCAAAGAGCGACAAAGCTGTGATAATCTCAAAGAGGCAGAGATAAAGAGAGGCAGCAGGAAGAGTTTTTGTAACTGTCAAAAGTCTCTGTGTTCCTACAACGAGGCTTACTTTGGAGCTGGGACTAAACTCACTGTTTTAGGTAAGAAAACCTGCGACAGACACGTCTCACAGAGCATGACTCACAGGTATGCGAGTCAGGAAAACTGTTGAGTATTAAAAATGTACTTTTAGACCTCCTATTTGATGCTAGGAAACACAGTCATCTCATTTTAAAAGTGCAAAAAGAAGTTAAAGGTGGAAGCTTGAGCTAAGTTGTCTGTGTTCTCCAGTAAAAGTGCTGCAGCGATAAAACATTTGGCTCTGAGCCCAGATTATTAATGTCACAGCGAGTTCTTATCAGTTCTGTGAAACACTGTGAGCTCACAGTCAGAGGCTTACTTTGGAGCTGGAACTAAACTCACCGTCTTAGGTAAGGCAATCACAAAACTTAAATCATAATGTTCCATGAGACTAGTTGGTAACTGCCAGATTAGAGCTGAGGGCTGTTTTTAATCTCCTGCTCTTAAATGCACCTTAAATCAGAATTAATGCTGTTAGCAAGTAGTTTAATTTGAGGTTGTTTCTACAAATGTTTTTGAGTTATCTAAAAAGACGAGCACAGAGACAGTCTACAGCTTCAGGGCTGAGAGCTCACACAGTTTTTCTGTAGCCTTTTATCAGTGTGACCAATTACGAGCCTGCTTACTTTGGCAGTGGCACCAGACTGACAGTGTTGGGTAAGAAAATTAGAAAAATCCTAGGCATAAATGTTTGTTTTGTGACTCTCTCTTGACTCAGATCTGAGGATTATTGTTGAGTAAAATTGTTTTAATGTCTTGTTAGGTGACTCGGTGCAGCAGCAGCGTGTTGCTTCCTTTCAAAACTGTAAAAGAAAACGTAAAATTGGCAATAACTGCGATAAATCTCTCTGTTCAATGGCAAATATGCTGTGTTTGGTCTTGGCACCAGACGTATAGCATTATATGTTCAAGCTGTAAATATCAGCATTCACAGGATGTCATTGTAAACCTTTTCTCAGTTGCAATCAGATGGTAAAACTTAGATTTTACAACAAAAACTGAATGCAAAAATGTTTATTTAAATCACATTAATGAGGCTATAAATGGGATCCATTACATATAGAGATACTTCATATGAGCTGTTGCTGAAAAACTTTAAAGGGCAGTACAAATGAAATAAAAGTCACGTGTTAATTCAGTTGTTGTAGATCTTTGTCAGTACTCCTGCTTATTTTGGAGAGGGAACCAAACTGACTGTTCTCTGTAAGATCACTACCATAAAATCAAACATTTATCTAAAAAGAAATTTCAATTCTGCAACAATCACATTTTATTTGGTGTTTATGTTCAGCATATGAGGTTCTGAGTCTTTCAATACCCTGACGTTCATGTCTAAACTGGTATTAAGATGTCACATGTACATTAGCTGTTGATCTATAGGCAGCTTTAATTTAGTGATTTCTGTCCTTTGTCCTTGCAGAAAAAGACCACGAGATCACTGCACCAACAGTGAAAGTCCTTCATCCTTCAGCAAAAGAGTGTAAAAACAAGAGAGGCAATGCGGAGAAGACCATTGTATGTTTGGCCACTAGATTCTACCCAGACCATGTCAGTGTGTCCTGGCAGGTCGGTGGAGAAGACGTCACCACTGGTGTGGCGACTGACAACGCTGCCCTGCGGAGGGAGGACAAGTATTACACAATCACCAGCAGGCTGAGGGTCTCTGCCAAAGAGTGGTACGACCCCAACACTGAATTCAAGTGCACTGTCAGCTTCTACAATGGGACAGAAACAACACCATACTCAGATTCAATTTTTGGAGACAAAGGTATGTTTCATTTGGAACTCAGAAATGAATCAAACCTGACTGACAATACATGTGAACAACCATCTGCCCTCGTCTAATCCTCTTCTTCTTTTTCTATCAGCTAAAGAAGGTGTCCTGACAAGAGGTAAATATATTGTGGTTCACCCCTGCTACTATTTAGTGTCCTTGGTGTCAGTAAAGTGCACTGGATGTTTCCTCTTTGGCTCATGTTCCCTCATCTGTATGTTTGTGCAGAGAAATATCTGAAGATCACACAGGCTGCCAAACTCTCCTACGGTGTTTTCATCGTCAAGAGCATGGTCTACGGAGTCTTTGTGGCGTTCCTGGTGTGGAAGCTTCAGGTTTGTCCCCACACATGATCTCTGTCCTTCACCTAAAAACTGGCTCTGCACATTTTTATGTGTGAATGAACGAGTGAGAAAATTGTGTCCTTTCTGTGTGTTGCAGAATTCGAGTGGAAAGCGGAACCACTGAGAGCTGAGCTGAGCGGATGCATTCTGGGAAGTCGAAAATGTTTTTGTAAATAAGCGCTGAACTTTGTATGTTATAGTGTATTTGCATTCTGCTAAAATAGATGAACAGTCATGTGCATATTCTTGTTAAAGGGTAACTTCGGTATTTTTTTGACAGGCTCATATTATGATTAGAAGTGTCTGACAACATTATAGATAGGATCCCTGCAGAGATAGACCTTTTTGTTAGAGAGTAAGATCATTTTTAACTAAAAACAGCCTCAAAATCGCTATCGTCAAAACCAGCCAGACTCCATTCAAATAAATAGTAATTTTTGCATGTACAGAGGCAGCATATATTCATATATAACTCTGTGAATTGAAGGTTTGTTTCTACCAAACTAGAGTTGGTGATTGCAGAACAGTGGAAAGACGAACCACAATAAATTTTCTGAGTTTGATTTGGTTTCTGTTGGCTTTGAATAAAGTCCGTTGTACAATGATAAAATTACAGTTTATTTAAATGGAGTCTGGTGGGTGTGACGATAGTGGTGTTTCTGTTTAAACAAAAAGGATTTTACTCTAATCTCTGTAGGGAACCTTTCCATAAGTTGTCAGACACCTATACTACCAATCTGAGCCTGTCAGTGGCAAAAACAAGCACTTTAAATAGACTCAAATTGCTGGTGCACAATTGCCCAATACTGTTACATTGCAGCCTGTTTCGTCGCTGCTGGTTGCTCACTCTTGCTCAATATTAAACCAATTTCAAGAATTGTTGTTCCCATCAGTCACTTAGACTCAAAAGCATGGATATATAAAGTCCAGGTTGGAAAATACTGAATTTGCCCTTTAAGTTATAACTGACATGTAGATATGTTGACATCACATTTTCATAAATACTTCTGATAATAATTTGTGGTTTGTGGTTGCAAATTGCTTGTTTGCTTAATTTGCTTCTCAATAAAAGTGTTTCAGAGGATCAAATCAATTGTGTACTGTAATTTAAATATTTAAAAGGTTTTTATGATTCTCATGACACCTCCAGTCAGAAATACTAGTAGCAAATAGCCTATCTAAACAGGCATGGGTTAATGTTCATTTTAGACACTCTTCATATTAAAATGGTGGATTGAAATGAAAGATTAAGCCATTTTGTCCTACACTGAGCATCACCTTTTCCACAGAGAGTGTGAGGTATTTTTAGCTGCTCTCTTATCTGCATCTTTTCTACAAAATTAGTTATTCCTCACCTACATGATGTTGAAACATCAGCTTAGGGAAACTTCACAAGTAGGTTTATTTAGGTCTTAATAATTTTTTCCATCGAGCAAACTGAGAGGTGACTAAATCTGATTTGATTAATTTCCACTGACTGTTCTGTATCATAAAGAAATCATTGATTAAAGTGTTTTTATTTAAGTCAGAACTAGTTTTTCCATTTTACACAAGTGAGAGAAGTGTATGACAGTTAACATTCTCTACATGAATAAAGATGTGACTCCTTTAGTTCACACACTGTCAGTAGGAAAGTAAGTGTAGGAGTGTGAGTCTGCCACATAACAACAGGAAATCAACACTCATCTGAAGAAGGTCAGAGCTGTTGCTGGTTGAAACCCTGCAGAGGAGCAGAGAACGGCAGCAGAGGAGAGGATGTGGTCACAGAGCAGCCTGCACATCGCTCTCTGTGCTGAGAAATGATGAAGGTGAAACCCTCCACTTCACCACAGCCTCCGGCTCTCAGAGTGCACCTGCACCTCTGCACCGACACCCCCACACTGCTCTGCAGGTCTCTGAGCAAACAGCTGGAAAACTTCCATTTCTGTGTCAACTGAAGCTCCAGAGTGAACATACATGTGTGTTATATGTCACACACCAGCTGTTTACTGTCATCTGGTGCACAGACATGCATGTGAGTGTTTTTTTAGGTTGAGCATGAGAGTGGTAAATATAGCTGCAGTCAGGGAGATGAAACGTTATCAGGTAGACTCAAGATCCCCATCAGCAGTTCATGTAAAGAGTTTGTATGAGTGTTGCATTTAACTGGAGCTTCATCATTTTCATACAAAAAATTCATTCAAGGCTTTAGGTCTCATTTTAATATTTTTTCTTTTGGGGGGGGGGGCACATATTAAACAGGAGCCTATGGGACCACGTTTTGAGATATTATAATTTTTTTATTCTTTTTTTATTCTATATACTTTATTAATCCCCAAGGGGAAATTCAATTTTACACTCTGTTGTCAATTACACACAGGTCCGGACACACACATGCACAAACTGGACCTATACATGCACTAAATGGAGAGATGTCAGAGTGGGCTGCCCATGACAGGCGCTCCGAGCAGTTGGGGGGTTCAGTGCCTTGCTCAGGGACACCTCGGCAGTGCCCAGGAGGTGAACTGGCACCTCTCCAGCTACCAGTCCACGCTCCACATTTTTGGTCCGGACAGGACTGGTTGGTTCCCAACCCAAGTCCCTATGGACTGATCTACTGCCACCCCCAAATATACAGACTGTATTTCATACAACTTGGTCATTTACTAGATGTGTCTGTTTTCAGTACCTCATAAACAGTAGTGGAGGAAGTACTCAGAGTGTTTACTTAGTAAAAGACGCACTATATCAGTGTACTACAGTGCATTCAAATTTAAAGCACAGTATTAGTGTCAGAATATACTTAAAGAACCAAAAGTGAGAGCACACTATATGCAGAATAGACCATTTCAGAGACATACATATATATTATATTATTGGATTACTGATGCATTGATGTATACATTGCCTTAATGTTGCAGCTGATAAAGGTGGAGCTATTTTTTTTAACTTAATTGCCCTTAACAGCAATGAACAGACAAGTATCATTGCAGAACAAAATTACCTTGAGAGTGAGAGAATTAATCTCAAAATAACAGCTGAAGCTAATTTTAATTACTTTAAATACTGCAAGCATGTGAATTGCTCACAAATCACAATTCTAATCTATAATAAAAAGTCCTTATTAATTTGTTGATCATATGTTGTATTGTTAATGTGAATCTGCAAAGTCACTGTTATTATCACTGTTAAGTTATTAAATAAATGCAGTGCAGTAAAAACTTAGATATATGCCTCTGAGGTGTAGTGGAGTAGAGGTATAAAGTAGCAAATAATGTAAGGTACAAAGTACAAAAATGTAATTTAGTACAGTAGTTGAGTTACTTTGCACCACTTCTAATCAAACTAAAAATGTGTTTTTTGATCCGTTAAGACTCCAGTGGGATTCAAACTACTTCAACTCAAACGTATCTACAAACACCACAACTATTTTCTCCATTTGTTTCCTGTAAAAACATGTTTTCACTCGCTGGAGTCATAAACAGGAAACAGCGTGTGTGAGACCGCAACAGAAACATGGTGTATGACACATCTGTGAGCTAGATATAGTTATATCTCCTCCTGTGAACCCTGATCTTTACGTTAATTTACAAGCTGCTTATTTTATCTCTGTTTGTTGGGAAACAGGAAACACAATTTATTATTGTCTGAAATTTGATGACTAAAGCTCATGTGGTTTAAAACTGCCAGACGAAGCAGCATCTGTGCCGAGCAATACTGAAACTTAAAACTGTCTGATGACTTCTCTATCACATTTTCAAACTAACAAGAGTATGTGCAGTACAAAAAGTGTGCATTATTTTCCACAAACATTATTACAGGATGTAGACCCAGTGTACAATATGCAAGTTCAGACACAGTAAATCCCGCCTAATAAATCTTATATTTTTATTTGGGAGTTTTATATTGGAGCAGGGCTAAAACTCACTGTAGTTCTGTACTTGTTGGGACAATATAAACTTCACTGTAGTGAAACATTAAATGACTCTGAATGTTCAGTCACAGCCAAACGACAACAAACCTCATGTTTCCAGCACAGATCAGCCCTGTCATGGAAAACTGTCTCTTCTCACTGATATTCAACAACAAAACAAGACAAGTAAAGTGTCTCCAAACACAGGTATGAGCACAGGTGCAGCGGCCTCTCAGGGATCATCAGGTGCAACTGTCTGTTTTGCTTTTACTATTTTACATCCTCCTGAGACCTCAACTTTTGTTTGGTATGCATTATAAATTTCTCCTAGCTAACTGGAATCAATAGGACCTGATAAGTTAAAAAAAACCTAAACATTATCGATGATTATGAAGTCTTGATGTCCTCAAATCACACGGTAAAAACACGGTCACTAAAATTGGTTAAATTTGTTGTCATATCAAACTACAAACACTATCAATCATAAATAAACAGGTTCTTTCTATCTATTCTCAAATTAAGGAAACACATTACAAGCAATTTCTTTAATTAAATGTAACTATGTTTGGTGTTGAGTAAGTTATCCAAATTTATAAAAAGAAATTTGTAAAAATAAGCATTTATGCTGAAGTACACATCTAACTATCTAATGTAAACTTTTTGGGATATGTTTATGATCGTCACTAGGGAGTTTTTAATTTTACCTTCTTGATTCCTTTATCTTTTTAAGTTAGACAGTGTGTGGGAGTTTTTTCTACAGGTTGTGTTCTGCTCGTCCCCCTCCTACACACCTGTTTGGAAACAGATCTGCAAACTATTCCTTCCTTTGTGTGTTAGAAAATTACAAACTGGGTGTAAAGCAGAAAACATGCATTAAGTTTGGCACACTTGGTAAATGCACTAGCTGTGTTAATGGTTTCAGAAATGGTGCTTCAACAAACACTGTTAGTGTGTAAGCATTCAGAAAACGGTTACTTATCTGTTTCCTACCTGTCTTCCTTTGTTCCTTGTGCTGTTGTAACATGTGGATCTGGCCTCCAGGGATCAGTGAAGTTGAAATAAAATATATAATATTTGACTATAATCTTCCTGAGGAGGTATTTTCCATCAACATATCTGAGATAAGGGCCTAAAAACTTTAAAAGAAATGAAGTTGTTCATATAATCATGAGTGTTACAAACCACCTGCAACACCTGCGGCCTTATGACTCCTCTGAGAGGTCATCTGGCACACCTGGTTTAAATTAAACAACCATAGAGTGAAATAAAATATCAGCCAAGTGTTGCTATAATAAGATAGGAAACAGTAACTTTAGGAATATTATGTAACCTAAGAGATATTGCTGATTAATTTGTAGTTAACAGACTGCATACAAAGAAAAAGAATCAAGCTTCTGGATGAGACGTTTAATTTGTCATGTCAGGCGCCCCCATGTGGCAGAAAGTGGAACATCAAGTCACACAGAAGAAGCTCAAACCACCAGCTTTTATCAAAATATTACTTTTTATTATCAAATAATTACATAAAAATAAACATTATGAGGAGAAAATACAACCCTTTATCAGTGAGATGCCAAAAAATATTGATTTAAAAAAAGAGCAGTGGTCAAAACAGCACAGCAGAGACGGGACTGTTTCACTGGATTTACATGTGAAATCCTTTTCATGACCTGACAGTAAGATAATCCTCTAGAAAACAGAGAACATGTACAGAAGGTCCAGAGAGTAAATAACTTATATTAAAGATGTGGCAGAGGGAAAACGACAGAGACTTTTGCTTCATCACATTTAAAGGACTTTACAGGTTTACATGTATAATTTTAAGGTCTGTTTTAAAGGTTCTGTATGTAACGTTCCCTAAATCCTTGTTTTTTGTGACACTGCTCTCTGAGGCTGTTAAGTGAACTGTGTCAGCACCCTGTTGCGTGGGCATCGGCCAAAACAATGACATCACAAACAAGAGACTGAACCTGATTGAGATCATCATGTTGACAGAGGGCTGGAAAATAAATATTTAGGGTTTGTTCGTAAATCTAATGTGACGCTCTACATTAAAATGAGAGCCCTGTTGGTTGAAGAAACAGAGCATTCTATTTCTACATAAATTAATGAACGGTTAAGTTAATCACACATTCACTTTGCTTGGCGCTCTGAGAGCGTGGTGCTCTGAATAACCAAACAGTACATTCCAACAGTG